GGCTGCCCACTCTCACCCCTGCTCTTCATATTATCACTAGAAGCATTATTAACGCGAATTAGACAGAACCCAGACATAAAAGGATTAAAGATTACGAAGGAAGAATATAAATTGCAAGCGTTTGCAGATGATATGATTTTTTTCATTGAAGAACCAATAGAAAGAGGACAAAAATTGATGAATGAATTAGTACAATTTGGAGCAGAAGCAGGATTAAACTTAATAGGAAGAAAATGAAATCAATGACTAAAAATTTAACAGGAAAACAAATTAGAATTAGAAGTTATGGGACTACAAGTGATAAAGAAAGTTAAATTTTTAGTCATATGGTTGACAGCACATTGTAAGACACTAAAGGAAAACTATTATGACAAATTAATGCAACAGGTAAAGAAGGATTTAGAAACATGGGGCAAACTGCAACTTTCAGTATTAGGCAGGATTGCTGCTATTAAAATGAATATTCTTGCAAAATTCCTCTGTATATTTCAGACGATTCCAATTAAAGTACACAAAAAATTTTTTTGAAGAACTTAACAAAATAACTGCAAAATTCATCTGGCAAGGGAAAAAACCTAGAATAAACTTAAAAGCAATGCAGGATATGAAGAGCAGGGGAGGGCTGACATTCCCAAATTGGGAGTTGTATTATAGTGCAGCCTCTTTAGTATGGTTGAAGGAATGGGTGAATTTAACCAATAAGAGAATATTACTCTTAGAAGGCCATGACTTACAGAGAGGGTGGCATGCTTTTTTATGGGATATTGGGAAAACTAGACAGAAATATTTTCATAGACACCTAATCAGAGATTCATTATTGACTAATTGGAAGAAAGTACGGAAAAAACACTACTTAAAGATACCAATCTGGATCTCAACAATGGAGGTGCTGACTGACCCAAATAATCTGGATATTACTAAAATGATTAAATATAAGGACCTATTGGATACTCAAGGAAATCTGAAATCGTGCCAAGTTTTTCAAGATCAGGGATTAAAAATTGATCGGTGGGCATATCTTCAAATTCAAAGCATATACAAAGAGGACAAGAAAGAATTTGGAATTAATAATAAACTCCAGCAATTAGATAAAATTTTATTAAGATCAGGCAAAAAAAATAACAAAATTTTATAATTATTTATTAGAGGTAGAATTAGAGGAAGAAATTGTTAAAGGGAACATGATAGCCTGGAGTAGGAATATAGGACGTAGTATCACCTTAACAGAATGGGAAAAGGTCTGGGATAGAAATAACAAAATCACAAAATCGGTAGCATACAAAGAAAGTGTCTATAAAATGTTTTACAGGTGGCACCTTCCTCCTTCGAGATTAACAAAGATGCACCCCAATATGAGTCCGAACTGCTGAAAATGCAAAAAAAAGAGGGAACTTTCTTCCATATGTAGTGGTCTTGTACATAAGCTCAAAACTATTGGCAGAAAATTAGAAATTGGCTGGAGGAATTTACAAGAGAACAGATCAAATTTAAACCGGAGTCCTTTCTATTAGGGATCTTTGATAAAGAACTACCAAAAAAAGTGAAATATATAATAATACATATTTTGACAGTGGCCAGATTGACTTTTGCACAATTTTGGAAACAGCCTCGTGTTCCATCAGAGGAGATGATTATTCAAAAAATTTCAAGTTGTTCAGAAATGGCCAAATTAACTTTGGCATTAAAAGATAAAGACACTTCAATATATTATGACAGCTGGAACTGCTGGTACAAATGGATAGACCAAAGATAGATTTCACACTAAAAGGCAAAAGATGATATGATAGAATCGTAGTAGTGATATACAGATGTATGTAAGGATTAATTGTGTATATGGCATAAAATAAGGATAAAAAGGAGGTCTCACAAACTGTTGAAGATGAAAATGTTTTTAATTGTTTTCTATCTTTTTCTTTCTATTGTTTTTTTTTTGTTTTCTTTTTCTCTCTTGCATTTATGTATGTGTTGTTGGTCTATTTTAATTCTAAAATCAATAAAGTGTATTCAAAAGAAAAAGAAATAAAAGAAAGAAATAGAAAGAAACAAAGGAATAGAAGCTTATAGGTGTCAGGCACAAGACACCAGGAGCCAGGCTAGAGTTCATAAGCACTGCGAGTTTATTTCCATGCAACCTAGAGAATCTGAACTCCTAATAATCTGCGAATTAGCCCCAGATAAGAGTCAAGGGGGTCTGAAGTTAGGTTAGGACTCCAGGTTAATGATGCATTTGACCCCCACCCTTGGACTCACCTAGTCCTCTCCTACATCATGTAGGACATAACCTCTGATTTGCTGAAAGATTTTCTAGTATTTAAAAGCGCACTTTATTTCTTTAATATCTGAGGTGGGCATCTGTATAAATTTGATTCATAAATAAAATGTAATAAATTATAAAATCACAAAACTAATATTTACCTTCAAAAATACAAACTCAGTAGTATTACATTTATTTAGTTGTTATTATTCGTTTATAATTTTTTTCTGTCAAAGTGTTGGCAGTATAGTTTAGCTGTTAACAGTTGGACTGTAGGGAATTATGTCCTGATATGTTCTTCCCTCTCATCTAATCTGGAAAAGATTAGTAGAAGTTATACCAACAGTAAAAGTTTAGCTTCCCATAAAGCTATTAAAACATATTTTTTATTTTTTATCAAATTATAGGCTGCCAATCTTACTACCCAAAACTCATGTCAGGCATTTCTGATGATTAGTTCTTTGCAATGTTGTACCTATTGAAAGGCATTAGTTATTGGAATCATTGATACACAATATTTTAATCAATTAAAAATGTCTACTCAAAAGATTGTTTTAAAATACTACATATTGAAATATTGTGTTGCAAGATGTTTGAATGTGCATTAGTCAACCATATCTACAATTCAACTTCAAATTCCTGTTTAGAATGACTGCATTTCACATACACACACACACACACACACACAGAGGAAATTAAGTCTTCCATATCCTCAAAGATAAATTGGAGTGGATTGGGCTGAAAATTTCAAGTTACTTGCCAAGAAATAAAGAATATTCATTTGGTAATAAATGAATATCTATCTTTGGCAAAAGAGTTTACAACAATTTCTTTGGCCAGGAGTATTCTGTGGTATTCTTTCCTATTGAGAATTAAAAACAAGATGTCAAGATGGTCACATAAAAATCGTTAAATTGATTCTAAAGCAAAATCAAACAATACTAATAGGCATTTTTTTTTCAAATTAACTATCATGTATACAATCTTATTTTTTATTGCATTTTACCTTTATACCAACAGACTATTTATTAGGAAAAAGAAGAAGCAATTTAACGTCCCCAGCTTTAAACATTCTCAAAGAATGTATGCAATTTTATCTATAGCCTACCGAAACGGGGCAAATTAATAATATTAATAGCATGTCCCTCCTTCAGATTTGAAAATGCACAGTAAGATAGACTATCTACAGCTCAAATCTTGCAGAAGTTGTAACTATCAATGAAAGTTAACATAATAAGGGTTAACAGAGAGGCAGTTTCTGTAAAGTACCTTTGTTGGAAGTCTGTGTTTCAGTAGAGAATGTTTCGCAGAGACATTGGGTTTACAGAAACTGATTATTACCTAGTGTAAAGATTCAATGGAAAATTAATTATATTTTCAGACAAATACAAATAAAATAAAAAAAGACCTCTTTATATAGTTTTGAAACTGAACCCAGGATCATTTTTCTGAAAACTGTTTCTGTCTACAAAAGTGCATTTTAATCTAAGATGATTAAAATAAAATACCTCTGTTGATGGAGCAGGATGGAATTTTATTTGATTCCTTATTCATTCTTCATTTCTCTCCTGAAGCTCTGCTTTGGAGACTTGACGGATCCTACAGAACAGTGGAGGAAGTACTATTAGGGACAAAATAATTAAAATACAGGCAGAAAATGATTTTTTTTTCCTTCGTTTTCACAGAGAAGAGCATTCCATTCTGCTCATACCATGCTGCCATTAAGCATTCTAACCTCCAACCCGGCACTTGGAAATTAGAAGGGATTAGTTTGTATAAGAAATAATAATAAAGATAAAACTGTATATACAGTCCACTAAGCTCCTTATTTAAAAACGATAAAACTATATACAGTCCACTAAGCTCCTTATTTAAAAATAAACATTAAAAGTAAATGATTATTTAAAAAGTAAATATTCTGAAGTAGTTTGCATTAGCTTGAAAAAATTGAAATCAAAAAGGGATCTTTTCAACACAAACAATAACTCAAAATGGCACGTTACAGATATAAAGATTAGCTCCAATTTTAACTTTATAGAAATAATTCTATATTTACTTATCTTGGGGTAAATCTTATTTTGCATATTTGGGGTTCTGCATAGAAATGTACTATGCTGGGGAATTGTATGAAGAAAAATTTGAAAAAAATGTTGGAAGATGGAAAATATATGATTATTGGATACAATGCGGTAGTACAATTTAGAAAAGAATAGATATATTTTACTGATAAAAATCCATCCCTCTTATGGCTTGGTTTGGTTTAGTTTAGTTTAGCTTAGCTTGGCTTAGCTTAGTTTAGTTTAGTTTAGTTTAGTTTAGTTTAGTTTAGTTTAGTTTA